CTATAACCAACTTAATGGAAATATTTTTAAAGTATAAGGATATTAATGGCATGTAATTTGGTAATACGTGATCTATACATCTTACCAAGTCTCATTAACTGTCAATGTATGTGAAAACAGAAGATGCACTGGTATTTCCTCCAACACCTGTGCAGCTCTTTACCTGAGCAACAGAGTACCTTTCCCGTAACAGCAAGAATAACAATAAACACACTGTATTTTTCCAGAAAATCTAAATTTTCTCTCACACCGAGTTCTTCTTATTTGATTTTAGCACACTACAACCTAGTGTAATTACTTTGAAAAGAACAGATCTCCTTTCTTATGCCCAAGTTATCACAACAGACACATATCACAATTTGTGGGCAATTACGCAATGTGGATCCCATCTTGGAGAAAGCTGGACAAAGGTTATGCCCTGTACTGATGACTGGTACTTGAAAAGGCAACATATTGCAGGACCAGTGCTGTAATTATTTCCATCCTTGAAATGAGATATTTTAAAAACACAAGCTTTCAGGGCAACAAACTCTTCCATCTGTCATCGCATGTTATTGCCAAGTAATATACACCTAACTGTAGCTAATCACGTAAATGGCATTTGATATGCAATCATGCAGGATTTTAACCTATGCACACATCATAAAGCATGATAGATGAGTACCATTTTAAGAGTCATAAAAGGCTACTGAAAGTACATATGAAAATAAAAATTCTTGTCTACTTTACTAAAACTTGGAAAAGATGTTAAACAAAACTGTTTTATTTCCATTCTGTGCATATGTGTTCTCTAATTTTAATAATCAAAGAATCAGTCTTACTTTCAATTATTTAGGTCCTATAATACTTCTGTTGCAGACAGCAGCGAAATATTTTTTTGTTCTCTTAGTGAATTAAAGTCAGATTGACACTCTTTTTACTTGCAGAAGTTTCATGAAGGCTTGGTGTTGATTTCAGCACATAAAATTTTTGAGGTTACATGTGCAAAGTCCATTTTCGCTAATTACCAGATGTTAAAAGCAAAATGAACCAGTGCAACAGAAGTAATTTTACAGAAGGATTTAAAGGATACAGCAAGTTTACAGAATCCTTTGGTTATATTTACTAAAAGAGAAGTTACACTGACAAAGACCACAGTACACAAAACATATGGTTTAGTTATTTTCAGGGTTTCCTTTACTGTTTTCGGTGTTCACAATATAAAAGATGAAGACCCTCCCCTCCTCAAGAAAACAGATAACCAGAGACAATTAGTCTACTCAAAGGCACTCAACTTGCTTTTTAAGTTAAGGAGACACCACGTTGATACTTGTTTCATCATCTGCTGGCCTAATAGTCTTTTCAAATTCCATTCAACACAATAAATTATACTCAGCGACCAAGCACAAAATACGTGGGAAATTTATTTTGTTGAGTAAAATATTCACGATCTTACAAAACTGATTCTACCAGACAAGGCCTTTGGCCAATTTTGATTTTTTTTTCCCTTTAACACGCTGTGCCTTAAGCTTCTTTCTTTGCCTGGAATTCATCCATATCGGGTACTGGCCATGCTGATCTAGAAGAGTTTTTTTGTTCCGTTTATTATCCAGGTCCATTTTGCCGTCATCTGAAAATGAAAGGTATTTATAGTGAGTAAAATACCTGAATCAGCTTCATAGATGTTCTTTTGTTATTAGATTCCCCAAAATATCCCCTAGACACAACAGTATTTATACATAGAAAGCTGAAGGGTTTATATACAGAAAGCACTTTCCCAACCAATGCAACCGCAGCCCAGGAACTTCAACAGTTGATAGTAAATGTGCAGAATTTTCCCTAAAGGCCCTTGTCTGGGCAAAGCATCTTATTCTTTAGTCTCCCATCTGTTCCAATACTGTGTCTAAAAATATTGTGTGTGGTCTCCACCACAGAGACACACAACCATACAGGAAGCCATGGGCTTACTGAAACATATGCACAATCACACACTTTTTATGATGTAATGTTTAAGATCTGTTCTAAAAAATTAAATTAATCTGAGTGGAAGATGAAGACAGGTAAAGAGAATAATAAAGAAAAAAGCTGAAATACGACAGTACAAACAATGAGCCAGGGATGCCACACTTGCCTCAAGGAGCAAGTATGACATCAAGTCTAACATATTTACAGGCAGAGAGAGAGGCTTAATCTCTAGGATCAGGAAGACTGCCCATGACCTGCTCACTCTCAAAAACAGCATCCCTAGCTAGCTAACACCTCATGAACATTGTGCCTTGGTGAAACAACAAGGCTGCAAGAGGAACACCTTGCTAAGTACTGATTGGAACTGTGCTCTGTAATTTCATTTCAACCTTGTTTCCAAACTATCCGAATGCAACTCAAAGCTTTATCACGTTGTGCCTGTATGTTGTTAGGAGATAAAGCTCATGAGGAAAATGCTAATGTGCTGCTTCTATGGTTGAAGCATTGCTGACAGTCTACAGGAATGCACCACAGACGTGCTTAGGGAGCCCTAAGTTGGGATACGAATACTTGTAGTCAGCAGAGAATCACCTCAGGGCCCTACTGCCTAGTTGCAGAACCAAAGACTGATCCAGCATGGGACAGGCAGCAAAAACGTTCCAGCTCCAGAAACCTCACAGGGTATCAGAGAAACACCGAGGCCTTCTTAACAAATGACAGAGGAGATACAGCCTCCAATAACACAACAACAAAAACCCAGCAGCACATACATAAGCTTCTTCTCAAATTCCTGTCCTATCACGACAGGTTAATCTGTTACACAGATTAAAAGCACATTCACAATAAATGTCTGCTGCAACATAAACTAAATGAACCCTCTTGGACAAAAAATACCAGTTGTTCACACAGCATAATGTTTTCATTGTATTTTGCAACCTCAAGGATGCTGTAGGAATCAGTAACAGGAAGAAACCCACTGAGCAGAAGTTGTCCAGGGACATAAAGAAAATCTATCAAAGGGGTTAAAGACAGAGAGAAGGACCAAAACAAAAACAAACTATAAAGGCTGGTTATTGAACTGACTCAATAGATACGACTATCTTGAAAAATACGTACATCCCCACAAAGTTTTAAAAACGGCTACAAAACCACTATTGACCAAAGGCTAACCAGACCTTTCATTATTTTTTTCCTAACAATACAGACTGAAAAAAAAATTAAAGAAGGAATTCACAGGGTGCTGTGAAAAATACCTTAGAGTAACACAGTAAAATGTCCCTAATATATACTTGTAACACTTGGTGATGCAAACTCCCTTATGTCCACACTTACTGCTGAAAAGTCCTTTCAAAGAAGACATCGTTATTTTCACAAAACTTGTAGTTGTTTGTGAAAGACATATATTCTTGGGTATTTCTGAGGCCGTTATCTCTCTGTAAAAGCCAAGTGACAATGGCCACTTGTAGAGAAGTTGCCAGGAGAGCTGGAAGGAGGTGTAGGAATGACAGACAGCCAGGCATTTACTTCAGAAAGAAGGTTTAAAGCAATGATTTTTCCTCCAGATTCAGCATCAGAAGACTGACAACATTTAAAAAACAACTTTTACCTGGATTATAGAACAACTCAGAACCATAGATAAAAATTCATATTATAATTTAAGCTATCCTTAACTAGGAAGGTGGTTTTATATAGCATTCTCTTTCCATTTTCAACATCATAACATCTTAAGTGCCATAAACTAGAGAAGTAAAAAGGACTACGATTTAGTTTGGACTTCAGTTTTTGGAAGAGAAAGCTTCTCTTCTTTCTGACTCCTGTCCAGTATGCAGCTATTTAAAACCCTTGTTTCCACTTGCTGGGTAACTGCCCACTTTCTTTACTGATTACTTTCTATTTAAGACAAAAAGAGGAAGATGGCGTTATCTGTAGACACCTAAATACCACCCATTCCTGCACCACGTGCAATGCATCATTAATTAGTAAACCGAAATTAGCTCCGTACTTCCCCTACTTTGAGACAGTATATTTAAACAGCAAAACACCACTATATTCTTGATAAAAATTTCTATGAAATTACTTTAGATTTAGTTTATATGTTTAGTGTCCTTCTTAAATTAGGGCGCAAATTATATCCTACCTCTTGTTTAGCAGCAAATATAATGCAGTGATTGGAACAACTGCTAAGCGATGAATCTTCACTCACCTGGTGTTTTCACAGATGTCTCTCTATAAGGTACTACACAGTACATCTCCATAAAATACATTACGTATTTTACATACTAAAAATCAGATGTCAATAACTTTGTTCCACAAGTGACCGCACGCAACATGGATGCCAACGTTGCGAAATGACCAGATTCGGTGCTTTAACAGCATCTTTTAGCGTTAAAAGATAAAAGTTTTCCAACTTACTATTCTCAGCCTGTAATACTCATACGCCTGATCCCCACAGCGTTAAGTCACAGGAACAGTCACAACACTGCAGGACGTTCCTGCACCTGGGGGACTTCAGGAAAAACCACCCAGAGCCCAACTCACCCCTCTGTTCCAGCACTTTGTTGGGGGGCAGCACGGTCGCCACCTCCTTGACCTCCTCCATGACAACATCCGCGTTGGTTCCCAAGATCTTCTTCAGCCTCTCCAGCTCCTTGGGCGCGTTCTTCTTCCTCTTCTCCGCCCGCATCTTCCTCCTCCATTTGCTCCTGAGGCTCTTGGCCATGTCCTGCGCGGAGGGGAGCGGGCGCGGTGAGCGCGCGGGGCTGCACGCACACGCCGTCACCGCCCTCCCCCCACTCACCTGCCCGCGCACGAGGCCGCCGCCAACACCGGCGCCAGGCCGCGCCGCCCGCGCGCATGCGCAGGATGACGCGTCAGTCCCGCCCCTGGGCGCGGCCCCGACCTCCGGCCGGCCGGGGCAGGCGGGCCCTACCGTAACTCTCCGAGCGAGCGCGCAGTACCCCCATCGCGCCCCGCGTCGGCTGCGCTGCGGGATCTTATCCAACCACCGGGGCGTGCCGAGGGCGTGGGGATGGATGAACAAATAAACACGTGCTTCATCACAGGGAAAAAAAGCGAGCTTTTATTCTTCGGTACTGCCACGCATTTCTAAATCAGGCAGAAGAGAGAAAGCATCACAGTTGCTCAAACCAATCCGCAGTTGCACTTCAATAGCATCAGTCCCGTTCCATCACGGAAAACACACCTTGTCACAGCTTGTGGCAGGACACGGATGATTTCCCAATTACTGCGTTGCCTCGTCACTGAGTCTCACTGGCAGGCCAGGAGAGCAGTAACAACACTGCATAGGAAGTAAGAAAGCCTTTCAAAATTGTTTTTACAATTTTTTTTTTACAATCCTGCCCTTCCAGGATCTCCATAGTTTGGGAAGTAGCGACAGTCACGGCACCTCTCCCCCGCCAGCAAGGGTCTGCAAAGTTCATTCTTGGCACCCTGAAGTTCTCCAGTCATGGCAGCAAGAACAGACAAAAGGCTTTCCAATTTTTATTGACACAATTAACCTTAACATACAGAAGTTGATAAAATCCCAGAATCTATCTCCAAATGATTTTTCAGGACACTGAAAGATAGGCCATAAATAATACTAAAATTAAGAACATTCTTAACACCCTCACAGCTCTATAGTGACAGCCCTTAACAAGAAGAGAGTATCTGTCAGGGACAGATAAGAAAAACTAAACAAAACAAATAACAAAACCAAAAACTAGAAAAATATTTAGCTTAGTAATATTTAGCTTAGCACAATGGTAAGCTCAGCCTACCCTTATGTGATACACACATTTATGATCAATCCCAAAGGAAACATTTCCAGCAGCTACAGAACAGCTGTAGCTTACTCTGGAGCAATAAGAAGTTGGCAAACTTTTTCATCATTAATTATGTCAAGTGCAAATTAAGAGATTAAAAAAGTGACTGTAATGATGACAGCATGTTAACTGCATAAAATACATGGTCTAGAGAAGAACTGTAGCTACATAAAAAGACTTTTTTTCCCCTCTAAGGAGGAATTAGTATTCATGGAATGAAAAAATAATATAGATTCAGTCTCTAGAAGACAGAACTACTGAGTTTGCAGATCATCCAAATTGCGCTATAGTTAAACCACACCACTTCTGGCTATTTTTTATTAAATGTTTCCAGTAAACGCAGCAGGTGTAAGAACAGATTGATGATGTCCAAGTAGAGGTTAATTGCAGCCAGTATGTACTCTTCAGGGGACAATTTGTGCATCAGCAAGTGAGTGTCGTAAATAATAAATCCACAGAACAGAAGAGCTCCAGCAGCAGCAAACACCAACTCTATTGTCTCACTATAGAAAAACAGCTGGAGGCAGACAAAATATGAAAAAAGAATTGTAAATTTCATTTTCTTTTTAATATTAAAACTATGCATAATGATATGCCACACTTACAACACGGTCTTCCTACTGTTATGTACACACAAACACGGTATTATGAGGGCATTTCAATGTCCTTATTCCATGTATTCCCCCGTCACTGTCTCTTTAACTGAGTAAAAGTGCCTCCACATCTAAGAGGGCGGAAACTCTGGTCTGCAGGATATTAACAATTAGAAAAACAAAATACAGCTAAAACCCAGATGATCTCCTTCCCATTCTCTCAATCAAGTAGTGGATCTCGACTGACAAATTTTGTCAATCAACACAAATACTCCTTCATTATTGGCAAGAACAGCACCCAACAAAAATCCAAATTGGAAATGACTGGTTAAAAGATCACCAGTGTGATCTAGAATAGCCATGAATCTGCTTAGGAATTTTCTTTAAGTTACACTGAGCTGTCCAAAACCTTTTTGTTCTACCAGAAGTAAGTCAAATCAAAGGTCAGGCTCTGAGCAACCTAGTCTAGTGGAAGGTGTCTCTGCCCATGGCAAGTGGGGTTGGAACAAGATGATCTCTAAGGTCCCTTCCAACCCAAATCATTCTGTGATTCTGTGAATATCTTGTAACCATGAACACAAGGTATCTTACCCTCAAGAAACCTGAGAGGATTAAAATCCACAAACAAGCAAAGAGTCTGAAAAAAAAATTATAAATTGTGAGCAACAATATACTTTCTTTTAAACTTAAAATATCCTCCCTTCTTACAAAACCTCTTCTTAGATGCTAACTGTTCATTGGTGTCAGCAGTAAGTTTTATAAAGTTGTCAAAAGTTACTTTCTAACTTCAATTTTTTAAAAAATATTTGAAACAGCTGCCTTCTGTCTCAGTGAAAACTCCAGGTAAACTAGTTTTCTAGTGGTTTTAAGAATCATAATCACAGAAAAAAATTTACCAGAAAAGCAGAACTGTGTAAAATTAATAATTTAAGATAAATAAACCCCTCATCATTCCCTTGAAGCAGGTTCTTTTGACCTGTATTCCTTATTATAGCTGCAAAGCTTGCTTTAAGAAAGAAAAAACAACCTTAACAGAAAAGAATTTTCTAAAAATCATCAATATGACAACATACCCTGCTCCAAACTTGCTGAAGTCTCTCTTTGACTGCAAAGTATATGCAGTCAACCCAAGAAATACAGCAGTAGTAAGAATAAAGGCTTGCAAGACGATGGAGACATCGTAGAAACTAACTATAAACAGAAAAAGTAATCTGTCAATTAAAGAACACTACATCATGTATTTGCTACATTATCTTTTGAGGAAACAGAAGTTTAAACTTTCACAGACAGGAAAAAAAATCTTAACTGTGAACAGAAAAAAGTAAACTATAGCTGAACTTGTCTTTGCACTACAAATTCATGATCATAGGATTCAGGGGCCTTGCACTGAGTTTGACAGTTACTTGATAGCTGTAGCTTCTTTATATGGAAATAACAGGTCTTCCCTACTTACAATTAAAAAAACACTGCCAAAACAAAACAAAAATATTTTAAGCATAGGTAAGTGAGATCTTAAGGGAAAAGCTATCTGAATTTTTCATGATATTGAAGCAAGGGGAAAAAACAAAATTCTCTCCAAAGGCTCAAAGTTTTGATTAGGGGATAGGAGGAGAAAGGTTACAGAAATGAGTGGAACCTTTCTCTTCCCTCCTTCCTCCTTAATCTTTCTTTTCCCCAAATGACTTTTTTTTTGCAGGTCATAAGCCACGATGAAGAGGTTTCAGCATATACTGGAAACTATAATGCAAAGTGATGCCACGATTTGTCCACACACCACCCCATTTCACAACCCTAACCATGAAGTACAGAATTCTCCAAACTCAAAATCCCTTCGAGGAAACTGAGGGGAAAGATAGGGATGTTTCAACTTTAAGATCAGCTCTGCTAACAGCTGCCTTATAGGAAAGAACATTGATAGCTATACTGAAAGAATTCATGGCACAATTCATTTCTCACTTCAGGCTTGTACAGTTTCAGTTCTTGATCAGAATCCAGTTTTCTCCCTTGATTCCCTGTTTTTCTGCTAAACTCATATCACTGTCATTAAAATTTTCAAACAGGATTCATGATCATTTTAGTCACATCTAAAAAACTCTAATGGTAATTCATACAACAGACTGTATTCCTTTTCCAAATTCTTTATGGAATCAGACAATAGGATGGCTACCATTTACCTGTAGTGGCAACTGTCAGTGCTTCCAGCAACGTCTGCAAAAAGCAAAATCAAAAAATTACATGCATTAAAAAAAACAGACCACAAAACACTTACTTGGAGACTTCACATGCAGTGAGTCCCATTCTGCTACATAATCCCAGCACATTACATTAGGTCTCCTGTTAAGTCTTTGTATATGAAAGCATATCTAGTTTTCAACAAGAAAATGGCAATCACACTGTCTTACTGTGTGGAACTTGTGTTTCATAAAAAGTAACTTGTGTTACTTGTTTACATACAAACTGAAAATGAGTGAGAGACCGCCCCTATAGAAAAATACCATTTACATTTTCTACTCAAAGCACACAGCATTCTTATTACATTTCTTACAAACTATTCAAGAAGCTATACAATTAATACACTCTTAATAACTTGTTAGACAGCTGTCTAACAGTAACATAAAGTCTCTGCATCAGCTTCCTTTTCCCACTAATCCTTGTTTTGAAACAGCTAATTTTAAAACACATTTTGAATGTCTGGGATGAAGGCTAGTATGGACCCTGAGTTTTTCTAAATGATAATTTCAAATTAAGTTTCAACATAATAGAACATGAGAAAACTCTCTATGTCATGAACCAAGGGCTCAGAAATAAGAGAATATTTAACCCATATTTTGTTTAAACCAATTTATCACACAGACATTTGAATTCTTCCATTCCTATATAATGTAATACTTAAACTGTTATTTTACAAACTCCCACACCACATTTGGCCAAACTGTTACATCACTCCTTGTTACAGCTTCACTTGTTAAAAGTTTTTAAATGTTTTATTCACCTGCAAGAGTTCAAAAGTCAGGAAGCATATAACTGTGTCACCATTTAAGCAATCTATTACTTATACAGCAAAGCTGTCTTTCATTTTACACAAATACAATTTAGGCAACTTCTAAAGCATCAAATTCTAATTGAGCTACTGTGACTCTTCAGAAGATTGATTTCTACATTATCCAAAATATCCAAGAGAAATCATTAGCCCATATCTAAAAGCTCACAAAATCAGGCAGGAGACTGAAATTTAAGGACAGCTCCGACTCACCTGCCTGTGCTGGAAACATGCTCAGAATTTAGCATCAAAAAGACAACAACTGAAGAAATAAAAACATAGGGCTGCTTTGGGCCTCTGCTGGAGGCCATCCATTAAGCAAATAAGGTAACAGGAATGCCTCCTCCTTTCCTACTGAGCAGTTTCATAGACAAATGCCTGACATCAACAGAACAACAAGAGCAGATACACAGATTTCTACACACATCGAGAAATCTGACCTAGAGCCTATCCAGGAACAACCTGTGGACAAAATCAGATCTTCATAGGATATCTTTCAAGGAATACAAGAAAAAAAAAATTACCTACCACTAGTTTCATGGAGTTCATCACAATGCAAAATATTCTAGGGACTATTAAAATTGAATTTATAAATACTTACAAATCCAAACAGCAGGTATAAATTAAGAGGGTGCTGGTGTCTGTAGAGGGTTAGTGCCACAATTATAGCCAAAGATCCAAACCCAGATATCAAAAGCAAGGCAGGCCTGTAAAGTTCCATACAAAAAAAAAAAAAGTCAAAATTAAACTCAAATATTTGGAAGACTAAAAAACAGTTTATATAAACCCAAGGTTTTTAAGTGATCACCTAGACACAGATATCCAAAATAAATGTAATGCAAGTCTATAATAAAGGTGTTCTAAAACATATCATTACAGATAATCAGTTAAAAATAGTCACAAAAAATGACATCTTTTTCATACTGAAGCTAAGGACTACCCAGGAATCCATTACCTGGAAAAGAATCCATATAAAGAAGAAAATCCATCTATATGAAACTAAAAGTATTAAAGTATATGTCATATTTTGCCTATTATGAGCTCCACACTCAGGGAAGTGTTTTTCATAAGCATCTGACTGCAACAAACACAGGCACTAACTGCACCAAGGAAAATCAGTACTGACCGGAAAGTATCATTAAATCATTCAGGCAGCCCTCCAAGAAAAAAATAGACCAACATCAAAGACAAAAATCACAACAGTTCTAAGTGAGAAGGTCAATTTTAAATTATCAGATTCAAGTAGAAAACTGTAGTTTTACAACATCTGTTGCATGTACTATAGCTTATACAGAAACTGAAATTTTCATATAGTGTTTCAGCCTCCTTTTTTATTTGGGCTTTGAAGTGAAAGTAAAAGCCAAATCTGCAAAAGCACTTGGAAGAAAACAGAAACTGGACTCCTTTCCCAGCTGTTCCTTTCCCTGGCCTGTTCACCACAGTTTGGATATTTGTTTTTTTATCATGAACATTTGAGATGCAAAAAGAAGCAAGCCCTCGGGAATTTTAGCAGACTAGTTTTCAGGGAAACAACCAACCAACACCACCCCTGAAAAAACCCAAAAGATAGGGGGAGGGAAGAAGAGGAACAAGATATGATTCTGCTTTTTGGGACAGCTACCTATAAGCAACAGCATTCCAAAGAGATTCTGAAAGTACTTAGACCATAAACCAAGAAATGTCAGTAACTGGGATGTTGTGCAACTCATGCATAAGTTTGCATAGCCTAAATACTAAAATAAGCACTATTAATAAAGCATTGATTAAAATAAACTTTCACTATAATAAAATTTCCATAATAAACCAAAGACAAAAAATGTCAGAGAAGAAAGATTATTTCCTAATCAAGTTACAACATTTCTATTACAGAATCAAAACAAGGGGTATAAAAATTATTAGGAAGACTGAAGTGTTCCAGAGCAACAAACTACATAAACTCTACTTACCACATGCTAAACATCTCCATTTCATTTTAGTATTTACCTTTCATGAACAAATGCCTGCACTCCTGCAGAATACAGAAAAATTGCAGATGTGACTGTGGTCAATAGAACTTGAATGGAAAGAATGCTGTAGACTTTCCGTAGAAAAGCTAGAATAAGGAAAATAAAAATGAAATCACTTTTGAGTTACACTTAGAAAGTTCAACAGTAAATCAGATACAAGTTTTCATTTTCATAAGGAACCATTAGAAAGTCATAGTGAAAAAGCACAGAACAGTGTTGTAAAAAGCCATTTTTCCTTAAAAAAATTGACACAATTTTTACATTACATTTATTACATTTTTATTATCACAACATTAATTAACCAATAACAAGATAATAAAAAGAAATATAAAAAAATTTGCAAGGAATTTACTTTGGATATATTTAAAAACCTATGTACACCTATGTCTCACTATACTAACAGCATACCTTCTCCATCATGTTAGTGGTATATAATGGACCTAAATGCTGGAAGATTAATTTGGAAGTTCTGTGGAGGGCAGAAACTGCCATAAAGTTTAAAAAGGAAAACTTTTTATAGTAATATCTATTTGATTGCCCTTCCACCATGTTAAATATTGTTTATCATCATTTGCGACTTGCACTGTACTGAATGGGTATCTACAGACACAGACTGCAGGAAAAAATAAAAAAATCCCAGAACTAAGCTAACAGGCTTCTTAATTCTAGAATTATGGAAAGCGGAGAGTAGTTCAGGACATACAGATATATCATACAGAGATTCTCATTGGGAATGCGAGGAAATCAAACCCATTGGGCAAAATGCTGTGAAAGGAAGAATAAGCTTACAGGGAGAAACGATTCAGTCATTGGTAGCACAGCCTAAACAAGTTTAAGAGCGCATACTACGAGGAGCTGAATTAGCTGCTTGCAGCAGGAAGTTAAATACACTTGTAAGCCGTGATGGACTGGAGCCTACTTGATTGTGATAAACTGAACAAACCTAGAAGTAGCCTCCTAGCTAGCACAGCTTTCTCCCCACATTACTAGATGCATCAGCAATTTTGCTAATGGCATTATCTCTTTCATATCTCCTATTGCCCCCTTAATTTTTCAAACAAGGAAAAATTGTATTTTTATAGGAAAAGGCTTCCTGATTATCAGAAATATCTGATAAAAAATTTCACAACATGCAGCTGTTTTTATTCCAAAATGCATTCACTAACACTGTAAGTATTTCAGTAAAGAGTAACGATTAGACACATCCTACGAGATTATTCAATGCATTTGAGACCTGCACATGAAGAGTAAAGCAGTATTTCATGGGCATTAATATGACTCAAGGTACGCCAAGTGCTTCAGCAGAAGAGACAATATTTTATCACCTCATAGAAGAAATCCAAGTCCTTCAGTGTCATGGTTAAACTTCCATAACTACAGACACTGATTCTAGCACTGATACTGATTCTGTATGAGTCACAGAATCAATAAGGTTGGAAAAGACCTCTGAGATCATCGAGTCCAACCTATGACCGAACTCCACCGTGTCCAGCAGACCATGGCACCAAGTGCCACGTCCAGTCTTTCTCTAAACACCTCCAGGGACGTGCAGCTTTCCAGGGTCTATGCACCTCACGTATTATGTCTGGGCTTCAAAATCCGTCACTCTGGGCAAAGTCAAGTCTGAATCTACAGCGGATTAACCCCTTCTCATGAGAAGACCTACTCCCTTCACGCTTAGATGACAAAACCTTTCGCCGGCCGCAGTCCCTCACCCTTGATGTTTAACCTGGACTAAGTAACGCCCTGGCTCCACACTCACAACCTGTACCCAGGTTAAAACACCGCGCAGAACCTCCCTTCAGCCCAAGGCCAGAGGCGATGGGGTAACCCAAAGGCACTTGCTGGGAGCGCGGCACCCCCCGACTGCCCAGCCGGGGGGGCAGCGGGGGCTGTGGCGGGGGTCATGCGCAGCCCGTACCCATGCGGATGTGGAGGCTGGCCGCGGCCACGCTGTTGCCGTAGTTGAAGTCATCCTCGATGGAGCCCCGCGGGTACCGCTGCTCCGCCGCCATCGCCGCCCGCGCCGCTTCCGGGAGGCGCAGCCGCGCGCCGCACCGCCGAGCAGGGCGCCCCGCCGAGGGCCGAGCGCGTCGATCGGGGCTGCCCGCCTTCGTCTCGGCCCCCGCGTCTTGCAGCTGTTTTAGGTCTGGAAAGGAAGTTCCAGGGACTGAAACAAACCCGCCCTTTGGCTGGTTTTCACCTTTGATTCGCATCTCTCTGCCATGCGGAAAGAGTGCTCCAGCGAGCTGGAGTTGCCCACAGCTACAAACAAGTACCCGCGTTCAGCAGCGCCTGATGAAAAGGTGCTTCGGACGGTGATGCTCCCTGTCAGTGTGTACCCCACTAGAGAGGAGAGTCACTTCCATAAAACTTCAATGCGAAGCAGGCTTTTATCGCGGCTCTCTCCCAGTTCTGTGTCCCGTCCTTCAGACTCGGTGTAATTCAACAGAACCCAAAGGTGCACGTTTCTCAGGCGTCACGCAGCACTTTGTACAAGCGGACCTTGTATTTGTGGAATTGCCCCCCAAGAGCTGGCAAAGGTGGTAGCTCATGCTGAGGAATCCACAAAAGCTGGGGTTTTGGGATGTGGGGTGGGAAGCGCAGTATGTTATGTTTTTAACTTGCAAATATTATCTAAAGTGTGCCAAGACACTGAAGCGATATCAGAAATGTATTTATGAGATTAGACAGGAAGTGCTTTTAAAAATTGGAAAATAGAGGCCTCAACTGTACTCAGCTTCTCAAGGGAGAAGGAAATAAATTATATGATTGTATGGTGAAATAATTTTGAGCAGTTTTTCTACTGAGTTGACTTAAGATACTACATCTCATTTGCAGAGACAAAAAATATGAACATGACTTTATATTCGGGGAAGTATTTATGGTTTTCCTAACATAATTTTGCATTTTTAGTTGCTGCAGAGAAGGATCTTTCAACTTTAATCCTGAATTTAGAGACTGATGCATTCTTTGCATTGCTGAATAGTAACTGTTTTGAAATAACTTTGCTGTCTGCTTTGTTTTGCATGCCTCTGCAGAAGAACGACACTGATGTTCTCCCAGAAGAAGCATTCAGAGTTCTGGCCAAGCATCTGGTATTGCCTTCTCCTAATACATGCAGCGCAGTTTTCTTTAAAATGCCTCTTAGAGATGGCCTTGCTTCTGTGTGAGAAACCAAAAATTGCAGAGCATTGCTGCAGAGTTGACTCCTGCAAATAGTTTAAGACTAGAGATGATTGAAAGACAAACATAATAGTAGTCTTCAAATACTTTATAAAAGGCTATTGCAGTTCTCCAGCTGTGGAGAAAGTATGGCTTAAACTGCAGTAGGGAAGAAACTTGGGAACTTTTAAGAGTTATCAGGGTAAAGCTGTGGAATAGTTAGCCGGGGTTTAGGCACAGGCTGGGAGATAGGAGATGGCAGGAGACAGGCATGTGAGCCTTTGCACTTTCACACAACGATCTCCTGTGTAGAAGATGTTAGTCTGATATAAGCCACCAAGAATCAGTAATGAGCTTATTCAGAAAAGCAGGAGACAAAGCAGCAAAATAACTCAGCAACACCACTGAGAAGCACAGTCTGCCAAAGTTGCTGCAGATGGGAATGGAAAATTATTTACATCTGCGATACTGATAAAGCCTGTGGTTTTCATGCCCAAAGAGAGCATCATTCTTGTCTTGAGATCTTTTTTTGTTACTTGCAGATGCATACAGAATGCACTGTGCTGTGAGCAGTTCTTTGGAGTGACTGTACTGAATGAAGGTTTAATAACACTGAGCCTGACTGAGTGCTTTCGATGTCTGCAATTTTCCATTCCTCACTTGGGAAGGTATAGTTAGTGAATTGCTAAATATGCCTTATAAAAAGCGAAGTATGTTTTACATTGCCTTTCTTTTCTGTATTTGATGTTTTCATAAACATACCTCCATCACACTATTTTTATTTGAAACCACCGCAGTCCCGCAGTGACTGGCTTAGGACTGGCTAGACACTTCCCCTCTGAGTGCATGTGTTCAGGGGTGAAAGAGCCTTCTGTTTTCCCAGGTTCTGGTTTGGGCTCCAGTATGGGGAGCTCGCTCTCACTAGAGACCTGGTTAAGGACCATGAACTCCTCTGTGCCTTTTGTCTGCATTACACATAATCAGTGGCTTGGATGGAAAAAGTCCATGCTCAGAGGTACTTGGGAAAGGTACTTGGAGCATTGCCAGGATTCTGCTTCTTTCCAGAGGTTTGTTTTTAAATCATTGTGTCAGAGCTCCTTTGTTTGCTGCAGCTTTGAGCAGTGTTCCCAGAGTGACCCCTCTCAGCATTGCTTTGATATACACCTGTGTATCTTCACATCACCATGGCTGTGTTGAGGCAAGACTAAGTGGTCTCCTCTTCCCAGACTGCAAAGTCCGTGACCTCTGCATGGCTCCATACAGATGCACAAGGCACAACCGCTGTAGCGTTGCTGGAATGTGAGGTGTGCAGGAGTGGACTGTCACACATGGGGCACCGTGGCTGCCTGCCAGCCTTTCCACAAAGAGGTAACATCCAGGCAATTTGTGTTCAGGACAGCACAGCACACGTGGTTCAGATGCAAAGCAACATGGGAAAACAGAGAAGTTTGATTATATGGGTGCATCCACATGGCCATTAACGGTTAATTTATCCCCAGGTGAACTTTGTTCTTTCAATTTCAAAATAGCTGGCTAGTTAAGTTAGAGGGATCATTTTATTGTGTGACCCTGAGGAATTTTAATTTGAAGAAATGTGAGTTATAGCAGCTTTCCAGTGTCTAGGGGGGACCTACAAGAGAGCCAGAGAGAGACTTTTTACAGGGGCATGTAGTGATAGGACAAGGAGTGATGGCTTTGAACTGAGAGTCGGTTTAGATTAGATATTGGAGAGAAATTCTTTACTATGAGGATGTGAGGCACTGGAACAAGTTGCCCAGAGAAGCTGTGGCTGCCCTATCCCTGGAAGTGTGCGTGCCAGGTTGGATGAGGCTCTGAGCAACCTGGTCTAGTGGAAAGTATTGCTGCCCAGGGCAGGGGAGTTGGAACTAGGTGTCTTTAAGGTCCTTCCAACCCAAACCATTCCATGATTCCATGAGTTACTGTGAAATTATCCTCACACTCAAAATATGAAGTTTTCCATGGGAAGTGGAGACAATCTCGTAATTGTAAAGTTATTCCAAATTATCTTTCAAAGTACGTAGCTGCAAAACCATCATGAGGGCAGGAAAATAACAAAGAAACTCAGAGACAGATGTGCCTGTAAAATCCCTGTTGGTGAATTTTCAAATCCAGTGATCCAGGGAAGAGATTTTATCTTCCTTAGTACTTATAGTTTCATGAGAACAACTCTGCCCTTTAGAAAGCAGGTCACGAAGCCAAGCTATCATTATTCCAGAATGAAAAAATTCTTTCAATATTTCTTTGGTTTCCTCGAGCCCACATCTTTCATCTGCATTATATATTTTTTTCATTATACCTCACCATATTGTAGCTCAATTAGGCTCTTTTTTCCCCCCCTGTGCATTGTCGATGAGACACACCAGGTTAGTTTTGGTTCTTGTACTCACTGGAGGCCTCATGCAATAAGAAATGGGTTGTGCCTAGGAACAGAGCTATCTGATGGTGATAGGTACTAGTCCATTGATGTGGATAGTACAAGCTTATCTGGCAGGGAGCACAATGTGGAAGTTAACTGCCCAGACCTTTATTTTAAGGATTATGAACAGCCCTTGAACAGACATGTTGGTTTGATTCATGCGATTTGGTGAGATGTTTTGAATAGGGTCAGAGTGAGTATGTTTCTTTTTGGAGAAAGGAGTTCAGGATAAATATATCTCTGCAGTTAATCGAGTATTGCTCATAGTTAATAAATTAATCCTAGCATTGAAAGTCTTCTTTCGAGATGTTTGTCCATTTATAGAAGTCTCATATCTTTCAAAGGTGCAATCTTATTTTGACAAGCTGAGGTATTTTATATTTTAAGGTCAGGATCAGTCTGAAATCTGTCTTTGCTTATAATTACACCTTTGTTATTCCAGTAGAGTTTTAAAAAAGAGCATTACCATTTTATTCCATGCATAAGACTGAATCCTAGGAAAATGTGGAGTGGTACAATGACAGCCCAGATATAGGTAATTTTTCCTTTCTTTATATATGAAGGGGGTTTTTCTTCTTTTTTCATGCAGGTAACGTTACAAACTGAACCAATTTAATAGCTGCACTGCCTTGTGAAATAGCAGATGGATCATTCTTGAATTTGTTTCTCTGAACAAAACATCAAAGCACACTCTGGTTTGAGTTTGCTATTATTTTGTTCTGACTCAATTTAGCAGTAAGAGCTGCTTGAATTTTCGGAGTGCCATATGGAGTCTTCTTATAAAACCCTTAACTACTCTTTCTGTACAAATTCCAATGTGCTTTAATTGTCTTCAGTTGTCTTCACTGGACAGCCTATATCACCTATAATGGCTAGCTATTCTGTCATCTAAAACCTGAATGTACTTTTGTAAATTAGTTTATGTCAACATTTGAACTCATTTTGTTGTGACCACTTTTAATTTTGAACCTTTTATTTCCTGGCATTTTGAAAAGTTGAGGTCAGATTTGCTTATTTCTGTTAAAGTGTCTAGTTCAATCTGGTCCTGAAAACAACTCCAACGTATAACAACATTAATAGTCTGTATTCTGTTAGAGGAAAAAAACCCCTACATTTAAAATAGAAATGGCTTTTCACCTCTTAGTCGGGTCTACTCTGCAGAGACTGAGGAGCAGGATTCGGCTCCAGATGAAAACTGCATTTAGGTGTATATAAATAGGTATCTACACGTGTACTAAGTGCCTAAGCAACAATTACTGTCAATGGAAATAAGGGTGGCATGCAGATGCCTAAACATAAGTGTTTGGTGCTATTTTATGGCCCTTGGGGTATCAATCTCAATTCCATTTGATCCTCTGGGAAGGCACTAAGCTTCTTTAAATCCTTTGTTGTATCTGCAAAGCCAAGCAGATGCCCTGGTTGCCTTGG